GGAGTGGGAGGAGGAGGGGGGGGCCTATGATTATGTGTGACTAAAATCATGAAACAGAATATTTGCAAAGTGTGGGACAAGTTAGTTTTATAAGAAAATCGTTAAGATAACGTCATTAATTGAATCAGACGTATGCTCAGGGATAAACGTCCTTAGAACTGACACGGATTGGAGTCTAACATATTTCTCTAGAAATTCTCATCAAAGAGCCCATTTGGATTCGCAAATCCATGGGATCTTGTGTTAGCTGAAGGTATTGGTATCATCTTCTTACTGGTGAAGTCATGACTGTAAAGTAAGGCTGCGGTCCCATGTCTAGCATCCACTGGAGGAATGATGTCTCATGGAGCTAACATTTCAAGCAATAAAGACCATCTGGCTGAAAACTGCCTGGAGGAATGAAATTTTTGAGATTCTCAAGTCGTAACGACGGCACGCGCTAGGGGATTTGCCCTTCCCATGGTGGAGAAATTGTGAAATGGTGTAGTGCAAACGCATTGGTGTGAGAGTTCAATCCAATAAACCCCCTATTCTGACATTTGGGATTTCGCATACCATGAAACCAATCTGCTTTTCATCACGAATGAGATTCTGAAAAGCTGATTTACTCTTAAGAAAACTCACCCTATTTTCCAAAATTCGCCAACTTTCCTTTATTCAATGTATTGTTGATTATTGAGCAAGTCAACGCTCTTCTCCAAACTGTTGAAATAGCGGTGGGTCTATGAGGAAAGTCCACCTACCCGAGAAACGTTGGAGGTACTCATAGCATTGGAAGGGTGCAAGACGGTGATTCAGCTCTCACGGTGATTGCTGTTTCAGTTATAAGCAGGTCCGGTTCATGGTAACAGACCGAGCAGACATGCTTTCCCTGAAGGATAGAGCTCATTCAGGTGGGCTACCCATTACGAAGCTGTTACTGGATGTGGCTGAGGAACGAAAGCATGGCGCAACACAGGATGGGTGCGCTTCGTTGCGCGCGTCCGTCGAAACTATAGGTCACACCGCGGCCCCGCATGCGGCAGGTCAACCCGCGATACTTGACGGAAGTCGCAGTTGTCTGTGGGGCATACGATTTGCGCTTGGTCCACGGCAGCCAGCTCAAAACGAAGATAACACGGACAAATGCAAATCATTCGCTCCACTGACACCTTGTCTTACTGTGGTGCCATGTCAAGTCCTCAGTTGGGATGCGCCGCGGGCGGAGTGGGTGGAATGACCTACTTTCGACGGACGCGAGCAACGGACCTTCTCCCCACAGGATAGCGATCAATCGATTTTGAACAATTTCGTATTTCCTCCTAATCTTACATCAGGGAATGAGCTCCGTAAATATACCATTACCATGAACATGTTGCAACAAGCTCTCTTATCTCCTGAATTAGCTGTAAAGTAATAACCAGTTCCCGAAAGGTAAATTCTATGAAGATTTGGAAAAAGTGTGTGCTACATGCGTAAAGACATTCATCAATTGATGAACTCGACTTTGTTAGAAACTAACCGTGCTTTTCATCATTTTTCAAGGGGCTACTTAGGGTTTGAATGTCAAAGGCTATATAAATTCATTTCCTTTTTTCGTTGAACATTCAGATGTTTCCCACTTAAAGTACTTTATGTTGGGCTGTCTGGCAATTGAACGAATTCTTTTTGAATGTTACACTGTAATGTGTTAAGTAGTGGGCTAAGTATCGATGAAAACATAAGAATCATTGGGACACAAACAAAGGCCGACCGACAAGTGTTCACGAGAGCCAGTCGAGATCTCCACAAGAGCTTGAGTGGCCCCGCACCATGTTAGAGTGCTAATCCTTCACGTTTTTCGTCTCATTCCCAAAGACAATCATGGAGGGACGGCTGAAATGAAGCATAACTGCCCCAATGAAATGTTGCACAAGGTTTTTGACCTAAAAATGACTTCTGTTTTCAGTCTGTCAACAAGTAAACTTTTTCTGGCCAGTCCCACACAAGCCTTGAACCAAATGAACACTCCCGGAGAGATTGTGCGTTCCCTGTTTAGGGTTTTGATCTCTAGACGATGTGTGAAGTAGTGGAAGGACGATAAGTTATGGTAATATTAATAATTCGGGTTTTTTGGATTTCTTAAGCTTTGCAGCAAATTGAATTTCAGGCGACTTGACTTTTCATGGACTTTCACATCCTATGTTCAGAGCCTTAAGCTTCCTTTTCGAAGATCGCGACTCTAAAAAGCCTTCGTGACTTTTATTATCCCTTATCAATCATTACAATGCATTATCAATAATTGTAGTACATTATCAACCATTCTACATCCTTGTACATGTTTGCGAGAATGAGAATGTAATAGTATGATAGGCGAGGGTCACTGAAGTATTCTGCAATTTCAGAATTATGGGCCAATATCATATCAGAAGCCTCCGTAATTTGAAAATATTGCAAAATTATTCAGAGTATGGAATATTTGATCCACCCAATCGATACTGCTCCAGAGCATTCATTCCGTGGAGTTATATCAGAGAGTTATCACGAAGTATCTTTATTCGAAAAAGGCATAAATTACTAGTTGTTCACGAAAATACAGACAGATCATTATCTATTATGACATTCGCGTTTGTGTCGGTGAAAAGTGAAACATCATGAATGAAGGTGAGCACCAAAAATTAAATCCAGTAAATTATTACTCATAGTACGATCTACAATAAATACTCGAACGTCTAAACGTTACTAAATTTACAGTATAATCATACTAGTAAATCAAGGTCATCAATACACAGATCACACGCATTCGTTTCACCACCAGTTACGTGTAGTCAATCAAATAATACGATGAACATTTGAAACTGTATGAAAACGAAACTAAACATACATACAAAGAGTTAAATTATTATATACAATAAATACGAGGTCATTGTTAGGAGAATAACCCATCAGGATTGGTTGGGTACGGAATCATTTTCCATGGAACAACGGCTGTAACACTAGAGGACTGCCCAATTGTGGGAAACTCTGAAAAGGCGAGTAAACAAGAGTAGTTGTTCAAGATCAGTCTACCCTAATAATCTAGGGGTCTTTTAAACCCCTATGCCAAAAAAAAATTACGAAAAAAACTAGTTCGACTTCTTCACGCCTAGGAGTATAAAAACGTTATAAAATTCATTTCTCAGTAGTCTTGTATTACAAAGTTACAGTTTTAATGTTTTTACTAATGTTCAGAAACGCTCTGGTTCATTAGTTTAAGGGCGGGCACGAGCAGTTTGCTTCAATACTACAGATGCAGTATGTTCTTCAATCGATGCTAAGATGAAAGGAAGACTTCATAGAACTTTTCAACTTCCAGGAGGTAGTGATAGTAAGATCATGAGTAGTTGATATCATTGATGATAATATATGGTAATGATAATGTGATAACTCATGATAATTTCATGTAATATTATATGATGGTATATCGTATATGGTGATGATATATTATAGTGTTATTAGTGATGAATTTCGAGTACTGCCTCGAAACATCGACCAATGTTGTCAACTACAAATCATTTGCCTAGTTAAAAGAGGATGATCCAAACACCCAAATTTTTCTACGATATTTTTCTGCTTCACTGAAGAACTACGTTTACCGCACTTATTGAGTACACAAAAACTATTCACAAATTTATTTAATATTTCCAAATTGAGTGTTTTAATTTTTCCGTTGAACAAGAATAGCATTTCTTTAAAGCTTACCAATGGTTGTAATGGTTGCTGATGAATGTCAACCAACGGCATCGCACTTGGTGGTATCGGAAGCATGCCAAGTTGATAAGGATTTGGCCGTGGCAGCTAAAATAGGTGCTTGTTACTAGTTATTGCATTACTCAACGAGTGCAAGTACCGGTGTGGATGACGTTGTCGTTGTTGTAGTTGTGGTCGGGTCGTCGTCTAGACTGACCTGGGGTGCGGCTAATGCGTGCTGAAACGAATCAACTTTCTTCGATGTTTCTCTTTTTGCAATTGATCAAATGTAAAATAAAAGTAAAATTAAAATTAACCGCATGATGGTGTGGAATCGAGAACAAGCTGAAAATCTTCAGAAGCGGGTTTTCAGTTGAACCGCCTGCAGGTGGAACAGGTGGAGGAGGTGGAAATGGTTGAGGGAAAAAGTTCGGTTGTTGAGGCTGAGGTTGAGGTTGAGGCCCTGAAACAGTTGGGTAAAGATAGAATCTGTTAGAAACATCCGAGAATACTTCAAAGCTGCGCAAACACTTCACATGACAGAGCGTTAACAGTAACCAGTAATGAGGTCTGAGATATTGAACAGATAGCTGAAAATGTTATAAAAACAGTGTGAAAAGAACAGAAGGTAATCAATCATCGTTGGTAATGGATAAGTATGTAAAGCAGTAATTGTAAGGAGGGTCCCATGGTGTTGAGGGAAAGGTCCGTTTTTTGAAGTACCAAAGCGTAAAACGTACATGGCTGCTGTGGCTGTGGTTGCTGCGGAACTTGGGGCTGTTGTGGCGGTGGTGGTGGTCTAAAATTTTCGGGACCTCGATTCAGGTTTCGCCTAGGTCCAGGAAGCTCTTGTGGTTGGATGTTGGCCGGCGCCTAAATATTAGGTTGCATTTACACAAAAACTCTAACAAATAAACGGAAATATCAGACATACATTGTTTCTAACAACAAAAAATTACTCATTACATTGAATTGCCCTGCTGAATAAGAGCCAGCAGCTGGAAGTTGGCCGGGTGGCAGGTCCTGATAAGGATTCTGCAGATTGGCTTTTGGGTAGTGGGAAAGGTAGAGTCGTTGTTGTTCCTGAAAAATTCTGAGTACCATTGAGATCACGCTATTCATACCCTTTTATAGCAGATAGTATTGACTGATTAGTGATGATATGATTAAATATATTGCAGTGCAGTTTTACACGATATGATATGGTACGACATGATATGATATGATATGATATCATATGATATNNNATGATTTGGTATGATACGATATGGTATGATATGATACTATGTGATACGATATGATATGATGTGATATGATATGACATGTGATATTATAAAGGAAAAAACAAGTATTGTCTACTCTCCGTTAAAAATGTACAACTAATGCCAAAAACCCCACCAAGAAGTCGTCGTACTCCTCAATCTCCGCCAACAAATTGTTGTATTCAGGTTCTCGTTGAGGTGGAGGGGGCTTAGGCCTAAATAAATAGATAGGGCATAAGCACGATTCCGAAAACTGTCTCAATGATACCTGAAAATAAAAGGAGGATATCGCTGTTGTTGTTGAGCTACAGCTTGACGCTGACCACGTGCTGGGTTAACTGGCTGATCTACAATAAAGTAATGGTAATTAAAATTCTGAGTTCGAAATTGGAGCTGCGAGTTGCAGACTTACCGTGTTGCTGTCGTCTTATGTGTCTACGCCGAATGATCTGTCTTCGAGGCAGCTAGAATCACATCATACATTCTTACAGACAAGATAATCAATAAATCGATTCGTACCGCTGCATGTTGCCGGGGTTTGTGGGAACTTTTTTCATTGTGATGAGCAAGACGATGGGCGCCAGCATTTGCTGATGGTCGAAGCAGGGGATCCTCCAACGATGTATCCTCCTTAAAGAGTATAGAAGCATCACGGAACTTGGTGTTTGCTGTGATAGTTGTATAGCGAAATTACAAGTGCGTCTTCATCAGACAAGTAGTCTGGGACACTAAGGAGATTTTCCACTAACCAAAACCTATCCCCAAACGTTGCCATCATCAACAAAAAGGGAAAAAAACTAGAAAAAATAAGGGGAGATAAGGAAAAGTTGGCGAAAGCAGAGAAGGGCGAGGTGAATTTGCGCAGGGTCAGTAAACTTGGAACCTAAAATCCCTTAAGATACTTCGTGAGAAACTATCCGGTCACTACAATTATTTCAAAAAATCCATTTGGTCCCCTCGCCGAAATCATTAGATGAAGCCCTTTCAATGAAGATTCTGTACTGCTCAACCTGGTCCCCAAACCGAGACCATGTGGTAGACACTGCTTAACTCAAATCGCTTTGGATTGTCATTTGGAGTGGTCATCTTGAATTTGAGATAAAAGTCAATAGACGTTTACCTCGTCCTCATCATCCTTGCTACTATTCTCCTCTGTATGTCCATCTACCGCGTCCCTTTCAGCTTGAGAGATATCGCGAATCTTTGTGCCTTGTATCTAGAAAGAAAATTTTCAGTGGTGTACATAGAGTACCAACAAGTGGCGCCACTGTCATATTTTCGTTCCTGGGATCAAATCAGGTTGATGTATCAATCTGAACTATTATTTCTTCCCTCATTAGAACGAACATGTGGTATCGGAAGCGTTATGGAATTGCAGAAGTACCAACAGATACGTCAACTAGCCCACGCAATAGACCAAAATGGCATTCCAACGTCTACGATTCCGATTAAAAGTCGCATTCGGGACGGGGGCGCATCCCGAATAGGATTGAATCCTGCCAGAGCAATGGTGTCAAAAGTAGTACCACATGAACTGTACCTTCAGAATGGGCTATGAGAGGAGGGCAATCAATTTGTAAATTGTTTCATATTTTGAAAGTGATTCTGAGAAACCTGATTCCGAGCGATTTGAGCTTCCTCTTCAGTTTTGCCTTCATTGTCCGGATGGAATACGCCGTCTTCATCGAAAGTCCCATGAATTCTGAAAACTCATAGTGAATATTGACTGCTTACTGAGCTAATATGACAAATGAGTCCAACAAAATCTTTTTCAGCACTATTCTGACGCTTTCGGTTTAATTCGAGAAAAAAGAATAGTCAGTTATCTCAAAATGAATTGCTCCGGGAAAATTCATGAAGATCCAATCATAATGAAATATATTGGAGTATGGGTGTCTAACACTTCACAATCCTACCTGAGATATGTTGTTCTAGATGTTGAGGAGGTAAAAGAAACCTAGAGGAACATAATGGCTGAATACAATGGTCAAGCAGTTCGGAAGTGAGATAGGACTGGTTCTACACGAGCTGTAACTTGCTTAATATAAAGTAGTATAAAATAAGTGGTCAATTAGTTGTTATTACCAAGTGCGGAGGCACACTGAAGGTTCTCTTCCGGCAAAATTGAATTCAAAAAATAATGGAACAAATAAATAGCACAAAACCATTAAGGGAAGGGCCAGCAAGCAGATAGCCTCTACCGTAACTGATTTGGGGTATGGCTGAATGGTTAAGGCTTCGCTTGGGTAAGGCTTACCGTAACAGCTCCTCGCCCATTCACTACCTCCTCCCTGCCGAGGGTAGTTCTCCCTTTAATTTTTCATTTTTCTTCATATCTTCGAGCTAGAACAGTTACAAAGTATGTGAGCGAATTACTCGATTCTAGTGAATCTCACCAGCATGAATCAGATTGAAAAAAGTTATGCTCAAAATAGAACTTCTACTTCTTAAACTGCACAACTGAAATTTCAAAAGAAACCGAGTTGACCCGAATAATCTCCAGAATGACGAGTACCAATCCTCAACTTTGAACATGTGGTCCAAATCAATACTTTTGCAATTTTTTTACGTCGCCTTTTTTTAAGTTGAGCCTTTCAATGAGTTAAGTAAGAATCGCACAAAGGATCTCGTACTCGTGCTCGGCACACTCTGCTATACTGAGGTAAAGAGGGGAGTATTCTACCCATTTGGGCGCTTGATCGTGTTGTAAGCCACAAACTACAGGTGAGGAGTTTCGCAGTACTTCATACTGGTCCTTGACGACGGCATTTGCTTAAAACCTCTACCAGATAAAGCCGTTCTACTACAGAAACCTTTGCGGCAGAGCAGTGTAAAAGGTACTGTAACATACCCCGATTACAACAAGCCCGATCATGGAAAAGCTCCCTTTCAAATCCAAAGCAATGACTAATAATGTCTACAAAGCACTCAATCGCTTCCCAGATATCATCTCTATGTCGTGGTAAGTGGTCGATGAACTGGTTATACATAGACCTCGTGCTTGTTACATCCGCAATTCATGAAAAAGCAATGAGAATCATACCGATTTTCCGGCATAGGAGGTAGTTCGACCAGCGTGTTCATGGCGTAAATACCGCCTGGGTTCGTTGACGGAGTCGTTGGTTTGGCGGTGGGACGAGTTGGAGGAGTTGGAGTTGTAGATGTCATTCGCTTCATCACTACAAAAAGATAGCTAGATACTGGTCAACTGTACATTCTTTGGCAATTAACTGAATAGTTGATGGAAGTCAATTTGAAATATACAAAGTTTCAGCTGTTACAACAGCTCCTATCACTTGGCTATGTTCCACGAATCACTCTGACTTTTACCGAAAATTCTGATGTTCTCTTGACTATCAAATAATCTTGGGCATACGATGCCAGAGAGAACCTTTTNACTTTGTAAGTATAATTTCCTTTAATTCAGTTGGAGATCAGGACCCTTAAATATCAGGGATAATGAAGAAGTTCACCTTAAAAATGTCAGACTGGCTGAAATAAGTGGCCGAACCTGATCGACACCCGCTATCATAATTCCGGTCAGGACCTGCCGTACTTAGGTATTCCAAAAAAAATCTTCCACTATTAGATTACGCGACACAACTTCAGAATAGTGGAGTAAGTTAGAATTCAGAAGCTGCAGAAGTTCGGAAGACTTACTTTCTTCATGAGTGAGCGGAAGTGGAGGTAGTCCGGCTAGTATAGGCGGTGGGTTCAAATCCCCTAGACCGCGTATAGTGCCTTGAGTAATAGCATTTTGAAGAAAACCAAATCCGCCAAGGTTGCCGGAATTGATAAGTCGGGCGTATTGATCGAGTTGTGATGGTCCATAAGGGTTTTGGGCCAGCACTGACGGTAGGATCCATAATAGGAGTAACATACCCTGTAATGATAAAATTACCGTAATTTATCGGGGTTAAAGGTAAAGGTTGAGGTTCAGACTTCGAGATAAGATTTCGAGGAGCAAGAGAGTCGCGCGTGAGGAGGAATCTGTTCGAAATGGCTTCAATTTAGAAGGCAGGAATGTGATCGCCAGTGTTTTTTCTACGATCTCATATATATACATATATCTTCAGAATGCATCAACGCCAGCTTCCCGTTTCTTGTTTGTACGCGAGAGCGCTTCTTATAGCAAGAGAAATCCGATTAGATGACCACTAGGAACGTCATTCGAGACGATTTATGGGAAGAGTTCGAAGATGAATTTCCTCTACGATGAGTCAAAAAACGGGTCGATCCTCCTTTCGGTAGTTTCCGAAGTATACTCATCAGGGAATGCCATTTACAGACGGAACAACAATCTTCGTCGTCTCGAACACATCCGTTGTTTTAGCGGTTGTGGTTAAGGAAATTCTGGATTGTCTGGCTCCACTGGTTCGCCTACTGTTTTCGTGCAGCAGCGCTACCGTACCCCTGAGAATAAACACTATCATTCTGAGGATACTGTAATGTCACTGCATGGGAACAACTCAAACAGTAAGTAAACCTGTCTGATAAATTTAATTATAATTTAATAGTTACTGTGACATTGACCTAATAAAGATTCCAACTGTACTTTCTCATGAAGACCAGGTCAACAAGATCTCTCAGAAAACTTAACAAAACATCTAAATCACTTAAACTAATTACAAAATTGTTATAAAACTAAGGAACACGAAAGGCCGGACTACAATTCATCTCGAATA